AAAAAATCTTTTTTATTGATTCATCAAATGATAGGCATTAAGGTTGTTTCTAAGATTTAGCTATTGCAAACTATGCTGCTATCAACATTGGGTGTACAAATGTCAGTGTGGTATGTTTTTAATTCTTTCAGGAAGATGCCCAAAAGGGGCATACCTCAGTCAAATGGGACCTACAATCCTAATTTTTAAGGAATCTCCACACTGATTTCCACAGTGGTTATACCAGTCTACACTCCCACCAATAGTGGCCCTCCAGCATTTGTTATTGGCTGATTTCTTGATGCTGGCTATTGTTTCTGGAGTGAAACGGAATCTTGGTGTTGTTTTGATTTGTATCAAATGATCAGTGATGTCAAATATTTTTTCATGTATTTATTTGCTGTTTGTGCTACTTCATCTGAGAAGTATATAATCATCTCAAATACACATTTGGGTTGGGTCTTTAAATGTTGGGGGGTCTGATTTTTTTTTGAGTCCTTAAATGTTCTAGATATTAGTTCTTTGTCAGAGAGACAGCTGGCTAAAATTTTTTCCACGCCATGGGGGGTGTCTTTTCACTCTGTTGGTTTCTTTTTCTGTGAAAAAGCTTTTTAATAAGATGAGGTCCCAGTTGTTGATTCTTTGTAATATTTACTGTGCAATCAGAGTTTTGTTCATAACAACACCTGAGTTTTCAAGAGTTTTACCTGTCTACCTTCCAGAAGTTTTAGCGTTTCTGTTTTTATACTTAGAACTTTTATCCACTCCAATTTTAGAGATGTGGGTCTAAGTTCAATCTTCAGTATGTGGAAAGCCAGTTTTCCCAGCACCATTTAATAAAGAGGCTATCTTTCTTGCATCAAGGTGTTTGGCTCCTTTGTCGAAGACAAGATAGCTGAGTGTACATGGAGTTGTTTCTGCATCTTGTACTCTGTTCCGTTGATCATCAGGTCTGGTTTTTTGTTTGCTTGTTTTTGCCAGTAGCATGCTGTTTCTGTCACTGTAGCTTTGTAGTATAACTTCAACTCAGGGATTGTAATTCCCCCCGTTTTCCCCTTGTGGCCTAGAATTGCTTTTGCTATTCTGGATCTCTTCTGGTCCCATATGAATTTTAGAATTGTTTTCTCTAATTCTGTGAGAGATGCTGTTGGTATTTTGATTGGGATTGCATTAAATCTGTATAACAGTTGTGGGCATATGGCCCACACTTACACTATATTGAACAAGGGTTATCTTTTCATTTTCTGATATCTTTAATCTCTTTTTCAGAATATTACAGTTTTCAATGTAAATGTCTTTCACTTCCCTCATTAGACTGATTCTTAAGTATTGCATTTTTCTCAATGCTATTGCAAAAAGTGTTGTTTCCTTAATTTTTCTTAGTGTGTTTGTTATATGTGTACAGAAATGCTATTGATCTTTGAGTGTTGACTTTGTATCCTGGTATGTTATTGAATTTATTTATTAATTTTAGGAGTCTTTTGGTGGAGTTTTTAGGGTGTTCTATGTAGAGCATCATGTCATCTGCAAATAACAATAATTTAACATCTTTCTTTCCTATCCTCATCCTTTTTATTTCTTTTTCTTGTCTATTCACTTTGGCTAATGTTTCCAGAACCATATTGAATAGGAGTGATGGTAGTGGGCATTGCTGTTTATTTCTGGATTTAGAGTGAAATCTTTCAGCTGTTACCTATTTAGTATGATGTTAGCTGTTGGTCTGACATAGATATCTTGTATTAGATTGAGATCAAGAACATCTATTTCAATTTTGTGTAGGATTTCACCATGAATGGCTTTTAGACTTTGTTAAAGGCCTTTTCAATATCTACTGAGATGATCATGTGGTGCTTATTCTTGGTTCTTTTAATGTGGTGTATTTCATTTATTTAATTGCATATGTTGAACCATCCCTGCTTTACTGGAATGACTTTGGTCATGATATATTATCTGTTTGATGATTTGCTCCATTCTGTTTGCCAGAATTTTATTGAGAATTTTGCATCTATGTTCATTAGAGAGATAGGCTTGTATTTCTCTTTTTTGGTTAGATTCTTCTCTGAGTTTTTCATTTTTATTAAAGAGTTTGAGAGACAGTAGCATTAGCTCTTCTCTAATGTTCTTATAGAATTCTGTATGAATGTGTCAGGACCCGCCTTTTTTTGTTGTTGGTATTTTTTAAAATTACTTCAATTTCATTAACTGATACTGAATTATTTAGATATTTTATATCTTCTTAATTAACCTTTGGTAATTTATTTTTTATCTAGAAATCTCTCCATTTCTTTTGAATTTTCCATTTTATTCTTTTCTACTGCAAAATAGGTAGTGATGATCTTCTAGATTTTTGTAGGATCCACTGTGATTTCATCCTTTTCATTCCAAATTGCATGGATATGGGTCATTTCCCCCCTTCTTTTGATAAGATTGGCTGAAATTTTCTGTATTTTATTTAATCTTTCAAATAACCAACTCTTTAATGCACTGATACTTGTTTTCCTAAGTTTTGGTTGCATTAATTTCTCTTCTAATCCTTATAATTTCCTTCTTCATAAAAGCTTGAGCTTGACTTGCTCTTTTCTTCCAGAATCTTGACATTCAACATTGTATTATATTTTGTGCTCAGTCTGGTTTTCTGATGTGGATTTCACTGCTATAAATACCCCTCAGAAGACTGCTTTCATTGTGTCCCATAAGTTACAGGATGTTGTACTGCCATTATCATTTAATTGTAGAAAATACATAATATTTTCTTCAATTTCATTTATGATCCATTGGTTATTTGATTTCTAACTGTTTAGGTACTTTTTTGTGTTTTATTTCACCATTGATTTCTAATTTCATTCCATTATGGTCTTATAATATTCGTAGGATAATTTCAGTTACTTTGGATTTACTTCAGCATGTTCTGTGATTTAGTATGAGGTCTATTTTGGAGAAATTCTCATGTGCTTCTGTGAATAATGTATATTCAGTTGTTGTTGGGTGGAACATTTTGTAAACGTCTGCTGATTCCGTTTGTTCAAAGGTTTGGTTCAGCTCAGAGATCTTGTTGATTTTTTGTCTAGTTGATCTGTGTGTTTGTGACAGTGGAATATTGAGGTCTATACTACCACAAGTGCTTCTTAGACTTTTCATATCTGGTGGTATTTGTTTTGTATAGTTGGGTGTACTGGTATTTTAATTGTTATTTCTTTGTTATTTCTTTGTCTTGGAATGCTCCCTTAACAAGGATGTAGTAGCCTTTTTTGTCTCTTCTGATCAGTCTTGGCTTTGAAATCCACTTTGCAAATAAAACAGTTACCTCCTTTTTCTGAGGTCCTGTTGCATGAAGTATTGGTTTATATCCTTTGATTTTGAGTCCATAGTTTTTGGGTTAAATGTGTTTCTCATATGCAGCATATTATTGAATCTTGTTTCTCAAGCCATTCTGCCAATCCATTTCTTTTGATTGGTGAATGCAGACCACTCACATTGATGGTTGTTACTGATAGGTACTGACTTGTCCTTGGCAAAATATTATTTTAGTATTGCTGATTTCCCCTTTAGTAAAGTTAAGCAGTTTCCTCTGGGACACCAAGATGGCAAAGTAAGGATTGGAGCCTACATACAGAGTCGGCATTCTGAGTTGTACTTTATACTTTCTCTCTCTCCTCTTGTGAGACATGGAACTCTGATTAGAGTTGGTTGAATAAGACTCATAATTGCGGGGCTGGGGATTTAGCTCAGTGGCATAAGCACCTGCCTTGCAAACAGGCGGTCCTGAGTTCAATCCCTAGTACTGATAAAAAGATTTTTAAAAAAGACTCATAATTGAATTTGGTTGAATAAGACTCATAATTGAAAGTTGGAAGAAAAAAGTACAATAAATGACATCCACTGTAGCATCCTTATAGTACATATTATGTTTTCTCAAGGTTTCCTCTTTTAATATCCCCTACAAATGAACATACTATAAGCAAAATGAGCTTCTACTCCTGTGGACCAGTACTGCACTTTAATACAAATTGATTATGAAGCACTCCTGGTAAGTGGGTAGCTACATACTGCTGAAGTCAATGTTAAGGGAACATCTACCCATCACAGTGATTTACAGAAATTAGATAGTAGGACAGTTATAAGGACTACTCCTAGTTTGTTGCCATGATGTCCTGTGATCAGGATGGTTAGTTCTTTATTCTGCATAGCCAGGTAAAGAGGGAGGATAGGCCACATATATTAAAGTAGCATCAAGTCATTAAGATACAAATTATGAAAAACAGGAGTACAGAACACCTTCTATTCTATCACTCAAAACTTTGGCATTCACTATATAAAACACAGTTCTGGTGCAGCTGTAATCTCAGCACTTGGGAGGCTGAGGCAGGATGATCATTGTGAGTTCAATGCCAGTCTGGGTTACATAGTGAGTTCAAAACCAGCCAGAACTGCATAGCAAGACCCTGTCTCAAAGAGGGGAAAAAAGAAGACAATGCCTTTAACACCTTCATCACGTGTCTGAGGGCTTTCTTTATATACTCTATGTTTAAAAACAGATAGTAAGACAGCATAAGCCAGGAAAAACAACCAGAAACACTCCTGTATTCCTGCCACCAACAGGATGCTTGCTTCATGCAGGCAGTCAGCATGGGCCAGGAGAAACAGCCAGACACTTGGGATGCTTGCTTCCTGTGGGCAGCCAGTGTGGGCCAAGACAAACAACCAGACATGCTCCTGTACATCTGCTGTTGTCAGGACACTTGAATCCTACAATATCACTTCCATATACAGACATAGCATTATCTGACTGCAGCATGTTATAACATACTATCACGTACCAAAGAAAACCAACAAATACAAAATCAATTTCTACCAATACAATTGCATTAAAGTCAAAATCCAACTTTCCTGTTTTCGTTTTTAATTTCTGGCCCTACTGATGTGATATACATTGAGCAGTTACTGAAGTTGCTACCTTAACTAGTGAGGTTGCAAAGACATTGCAGTCTACAAAAAGTCCAGATCTCATGGAATTAACTCACCAAGATGATCTGAAGGAAGATCTCATATTGTCGCATATTATATAGTGCTTCTTTTATCATGTACTGCTGAAGTTCTTTACCCAGGAGTGGGTTTTTTGTTACTTTCTCAAGGATGGCTGTGTAACGATACAACAGGTCTTGGGCAATCTGAAGTTGAGAGTCAATATACTGAGTGGTGGCTGGGATTGCTTCATGAAGAATAGCTGGCACTGTTTGTAAGGGCATAATAGGAGACTGATATAAGGGAGTCTAAGAAGAATTAGGGTGAAAAAATCCCAGAGGGGTTCATATTTTAAGTATTATTTTGAGTTAGATTTTTTCCCTAGTCAACTTAATAATGAGTCCCACGTTTCATGCGTCCCACCCTATGATGAAAAGACTCCAAAAAGAACGTCTTCAAGCAAAAGATTGTCTGAATGATAACCAAAAGTTAAAGCATATTATCTTCTGTCACTAAAATATAAAAGAGTTTAAAGAATAGATAGACTTTGGTATTATGTCTGATGGACCATTTGCCTCCAAAATAGCCACTAATCCCCCTTTCTATGTATCTTTTCTATTTGTAAAAACAAATTTAAGAAGCATACTTCATAAGAAATTCATCTGAATGGTGAAAAATAACTGAAAGGTCTAGCAAAAGAAGAAACTTCATGAAGAATGGGAATTTGCCTTTTTAAAACAACTTAAAATGGAAAAAATTAGTCAGCTGGAGCACTGTGGGGAACACTTGCCTAGCACACCCAAAGCCCAGGGCTCAATCCTGCTACAAGAAAAAAATTATCCCACTATTAGTACTGATCCATCTAATGATCAGTAATCTGGAAAAAGACATCAACACTGTATCAATGGACTTAAAGGAATACCAAATTCATATTCATAACATGTTAATTCCACTAATAGGTTTTTAAGCAAATACTTCATAAATACTTTCAAACTTAAAAAGAACATGTTATTTCTATAACAACATACTAGATGCTCTTAAATTTACACATAAACAAATATCTTCTCTTGGACTTTTTCATTCTATTAACTGTACAAGCAACTGTTTTCTTTCCAGCATTTTATTCTTTTTTTAAGGTCATATAGTTTTATTTTCTTTGGGTGACTTGGAATAAACACACTAAATTGGAGAGCCTAGCCTCTGGGCAAGGCCCTCACATTATTTTCAACTGATTCACAGTCCCACACTAGCTTCATGGTACATAAAATTTAAAGTTCTACCTCAGCCAAAGAAAGAATTACAATATATTATGAACAGTAGTCATTTTTAAGGGATAGTCAAAAATTGCAAATCTTAAACCTCAGAATGCCAGTGGTGTACTATATATTATTTTCCTCACAGTGAAGCTTAAATTTTAAACATACATAACTTTAGAATTAGCCTAATATCCTTACAGTCATCAATGCCTTCTCCTCCTTTTCCACAATTTCTGTTAAATAAGCGAATTCCCGTAACAATCATAGTGAGTTCTTTCAGCTGGCGTTCTTTGTCTTTTTTAGAAAGAGTTAAAAATGTCCCAAGCTCAGCCTGCGGAAAAACACTCTGTAAGGCAGCTGAAATAAACCAGAAAAAAGGAAAACAAAATTATATAATAAATATCAGAACTTAGGTTACAAGTTTCTTTCAGCAGAAAATTAAAGAACTTGTCTTTCTAGTGATTGAGTTTCTGATACCCGCAGAATACATAGCAACATTTATCATACATCAAAGGTGGACTATTTAAAACAATATCACTGTCTCATGTACATTCGTAATAATTATACCTCCATCAGAAAATTTTTTTGGCAATGGACATTAAAACAAACTTCCTAATAGGACTCTTAGTAGAAAAATCTATGCTTAAACTGATTGTGGAAGTCAGCACAGGAAGGCTGGACATCTTGCTACTCCTCATTTTAAACTGTGAAATTGGGTCAGCATTTCCCGAGGATAACACAGTGCCCTTCATCATCATCTGGAGCAGCAGACTCAGCTCCTTCCACTGATAAGAAATCTGGCTTTCCAAATGTTCCAGTACCTTTAATATTATTACCAGTGTTTCTTTGGTAAGATGTAATAGGTGCCAGCATATGTATAGCTCTAAGAAGATAAACAATTTTTTCATTTTCTACAGGTTCTATTTGAGGTTTAGAGTTGATATACCATTTAAAAGAAGCCTGGGTAAATTTTAACATGTTTGTGGGGCTTTCTTTCCCAGATAAAAAGGGAACTTCAGTTTTAACATAGTTTATAAAATATGATGATCGTATGTTTTCACTTATAGAATGAAAATCATTTCCTTTTTTACCTGTCGCCTCCCTGACAATCTTGATGTCTGTAGGGGATCCAAGCCCAGAGCGTAGTAACACATAGCTGACGATCTTTCGGTAGAGGCTTTCCAGTTCTTCTCTAGCCCTTGCTCTGTTATCTGTAATTTCTCGGCTGACAGAGCTTAATCTGGACTCCAGGACTCGATGATGTTCTTCAAGAAAGTCCTCTAAAATTAGCAAATAACAGCATTCCATATATTTGATATTTAGAATTCTCAAGTATGGAGAGTGCAGAGCCATGGCTGAGCCAGAGGCGAGCCATGTAAACAAGTTGTTGGGGTTAGACCAAGGCCAGTCCATCGGATGTCTGTCTTGGTGTTCTTCCCTGTTGACTATAGCACAGATAGCTCCCTGCATGTTCCACTTTCAGGGTTCTTAGCAAAATTCTGAAACTTTGCACTTTTGGCCCATCACATACACACACCCCCACACCTTTTTTATAGTCTATGAATAAAGAGCCTGGGTTGCCTAAATAAAGTGCATAGTGTATAAATAAAGGATGCTGAGTTGTCACTGCCACTCCATCAGAGAGGGCAGGTCCCCTCTGGTCCCAGCTTTCCTTTTAGGATGTGTCTATAGCTTTTTTAATCTCCCATCCCTCCCTCTTAGGACCTCACTTCCCACACAGTTCACAGCACATAAAGACCAGAAAAAACGTTTGGAAATTCTACTGTATGGAAACAAGTATCTTCTTAGGGTGTGATAACTAAAGAGTCAATGGCTACCACGTAATTTCAAGACAGAAATCTAGTGGGAAATATTTACTACAGAGAATTGAATGGAATACTTTCGTAAAACCCTGGAGACTTGAAACAATCTAAATAGTAACTATCAGAAAAGACTAAATTTCCCAATTAACTGGAAAAAGAGAAGAGTATTTTCTATATCACACACATACTACTTGTATGTAAATACTACATATAGAGTGTGTATATATTATAATATGCATATATAGTATGTAAATATAGTTAATATAATTTATATGACCATGTATTTATAATATATGTAAACACATATAGTTGTAAATGTAGTATATATATTCCTTTTCAATTGTGTACATTCTAGTTGTAAGATAAATTTCCTCTGAATAATATTGCCAATAATATGCATCAAAAACTTTATTCCTCTTCTTTTTTCCTATGATATGCTAATGTATAGATTTGTGTAAAGAGATCATCTTTGCAACTAATGTAATAAGACATCCCATATTACTAATACAAGATCAATAATGACATTTCAAGGACACATAGTTCATATTCATAATCTTACCACAAAAATAAATGAGAACTTTATGCAAATTTAAACATATAAATTACATTTCTTAAATTCATGACTATTATACTACTTTAAAAATATATTACTAAGCAAAAATTTTAAAATATATATGATTTTACATATTTAGCATGACAGAAATTCTAATGCCCAGAAAGAAAAGTGATGGAGAAATGATGGAAAGGTTAATAATAATTGCAGGTTAATGATAATGATAAATTATAAGTATAGCAGGAGAAGATACAATATAATGAAGAATTTATTTTCCATTTTGTCTTATTTACAACTTGACTTTGACACATGATTGATTTATATAATGTAATAAAGTCTAAATTTAAATTTCCCATAATTAATTTCATTTTTAGGCAGCAACATAATTTACATATTATAAATGGTAAACAAAAAAGAGGAACATCAATAAACTTAAAATTTTTAACTTCAATGGGCTAGATGTTTAATTTCTAATTATTATGTATTAGTACAATAAACATTAAAAAACAGCAAACCTGCAAATACAATTTTTATGAGCATAAAAATTGAAATTACCCTGAACATTCACAAATGCTATTTTTCTCATGAAGCATTTCCAACATTACCATATTTTTCTAATACTACAGTTTGATAAGTATCTCCCAAAGATCTTGTGTCAAAGGTTTTATCCCCAGTCTACACAGTTTTAGGAGGTGGTGAGCTCAGAAGAGGTAGGGCAGAGTGGAAGATCTTTGGGCACCGAGGGCAGGTCCGCCTCTGTGGACACCAGTGTCTCCTTTCAGCTTCCCAGCCATGAGGTGAGCGGCTGTGCTCTGCCACACACTCTCGCCATGACGTACCACCACAGGCCCAAAGCAACAGGGCCAGCCAGCCATGGAGTGAACGGCTAAACCTGTGGGCCAAAAATAAACCTGGCTTCCCTTCACTGTCTCAAGTATGTGCTTCAGTAACAGAACCGCTTGACACATGGAGGTTGGAAAATATTTCAAAAGACTGACAAATGTTAATTTCATTAAACAAAATCCTTGTCAAATGTTTCTTATATGAAATGCAACATAAAAACCTTTTTGAAAGTATCAAAATGGGTAGATTGATGTTACCTCGACTTGTATAATTCATATCAAAGTAGACTTGCATCTTAATTGTGTCCAGGGATGGATTTTTACTGTCAAGTAGCCGAGTCACACAAAGCTAGAAAAGAACAGCCAACAAAAGTTCTATTATATTTCTGAAATACTAAGTTATTTTCAAAAATAAAAAGAAACATCAAAGCAATGGTTCCTGATATTTATTCATATGTTTCAGTCTGAGAACTGTAAAATGAGAGTAAATCTTTCATGAGGCTTGTATCTTAGTCTGGAACGCCTCTAGATACTTACTACTGTTTATCTAAGCCTGGCTCAACACTATACTGATGCCAGGTCACATGCATTTTATAAACTGCTGCTGCGAGTACTGCCCTCTCCTCATGAAATCTTTCTGGCTCTACCCTCTGTTTCGAATTTCTGCTTCTGATATGGTGCATGACTGTGATCCCAGGTACTTATGAGGCAGAGAGATGACAATTTTAAGGCTATCTTAGGTGTTCCTATCCCAAAATAAAAACTAAAGACCTGGAGAATTGGCTCAGTAGAATGCAAAACTGAGAATATTTGTCTTTAAGGAAACCAGTGCATGTGGGTCCCTTCCAGTAGAGGAGGCATTGTCTTAAAAGTAGACTTTACAAATAAAAAGATTAGCTCACCCAAATGACTTTTAATTGAGGAAAAAGAAAACATTTCTGATAACGTAAATTTTACATTGAGAGTTTCTGTACCTGTCACATTAAAAGTATATTGAAACGACATGGTGGCATACACTTGTAACTCTAGGACTCTGAAGGAAGCAAGATTGCAAATCTGGTGACTTAGCAAAAGCTTGTCTCAAAAAGAAAAAAGGATGGGGCCTTGGATATAGCTCAGTGCAAAGTCCCTGCTTGAAAACCAATACTGAAAAAAAAAAAAAAACTTGATTCTTTCCAGTTTAGTTGGGGAGACCAAAAGAACTCTTCAGGGGCCATGGAAAGGAAAATAACTTTTTTTCTCTCCCTCCTTGAGTCTCCTGTATGGCTTGCCAATAAAATTTCTGACTGACCATCACAGTCAGAAATCATTTCCCCTACTCATGGTGAAGAAAAGGATTGATATTACGTTTAAAATTAGGTTGGAGCAACCCTGCTCTAGCCTGCCTGTGATATCATGAAGTCACTACTTCACACTTATCTTAACCACATTCCCAAGCTCCCGGCTTCCATGTATCTTCTTGACCTCAGACACGTCTGTAGACAACTACTCTTCACCAGGGGAACTGCTGGTTGTGAAGGAAGACAGAAAGGATGACATTTTCCCCTTCCTGGACTCAAAAAATGTCCACATATAAGTTCAGAAAAGCTTATTTCAAGCCCTTTATATGAAGAAGGGAATTAAGTTCACTGATTATTAAATTTAATGAGCCACTTATTATTAAATTTAATGAGCCAAATTTAAGATATGAATAGCATAAATCTAAAGTTTTTCATTAGTTTTTAAAACTGATTTTCAGGCACATGTACTTGCCTCATAGGATTATTGTGCTTTGGTTTTAATTTTTTCTTTAGAATTGAAGACCATAAATTACAGCAAATAAATTATGTGAATCTTATTTTAGAATTATTTAACTTTACAGCATCAGCATGTAACAAACAAGTATATAATATGAGAACATTGAGAAATGTCACAAATTAATAAAAAGATATCGCAAAAATACTTGGCTGAACACTGCTGCTTTTCTGGTATTTATGGCCCTCCTTTCTTATTAACAGAGTCCTAATTTAGATTGGGGCAAAGACTTCCCCAAGAAAGAGGGAGTGGGGAAAGCTCCAGGGTCACCTATGGTGCCATTCTGGTCAATAAATGGAAGGAAATTGGGGGATTCTGAAATTGGAGGGATTTTCTTCTGGATAGAAAGGGACAAATCCAATTGTCACATATATTTTTCCCTTTCTCTTTCCCTTCTTTCTGCCTACAGATACTATCCTGTGACTACAGGGTACATGCCATATGCCAAAGCAAGCACCCTAGGAAGCCAGGAAGAAGAGTCTATGATCTTTGGACTTTAAGAGAAAAGAAATTCCTAATTTGTTTGTATCAGTACTTGGCTCTTTTTCATGTCTCTGAAGCCAGTAATAAATAACACAAAATACAATGCATTTTAAATGGAAATAAGAAATTTCAAACTTGAGGATCATTAGATAATCACCTTAACAAGTTTCTGCACATCGCTTTTCATGAGGGTCCTGTCTATGTTAAAGCCATTACTTGGATCCAGAACAACAGCTTTCACCTGAGAGTAGAAAAAGAAACCGTTATATAATTTTTAAATATTTATTATGAATTTAGTTTCATAACTTCCTATTTTAAATTACTCTTGATTACTCTTACAGATTGAATTTTCAAGGAAGCAATAAATACCAAACTTGAACATGGTACTAGAAAAATTATATGGGAAGAAAGGGTGAAAGCATGGTGGGCTTTTACATTGGGGAACTATAATATATTTTATCACATTTTCATTGTGTATTGCCACCCAAAGCAAGAAAAGAGAAACCATAGCAATGAGTAATTTTAGCAACAATGAACAAAAATACGTTAAAGAAAATCCTCCACAGCACAGCACCTGCAGCGTTGCTAAAACTTATCAAGAAATTCTAAATTAGTCATTATAAATCTAGAATTGACATGCTTGACAGTCTTTTTAAAAATATTTTCAGTAACTTGTCGCATTATCTCAATATTTTGGCCAAAATACATCGAGGAACGCTTGACAGAATTTTAAACATTTCTAATAAAGAACTAAGTTGTACAAATAGTCATTCTTACCATAAAAGCAATCAGAGTTTCAGAAACCACCTCTCCACTGGCGGCACATTCTTGTCCTATTTCCCGAATGATATTCTTTATAACACTTTCTGCTTGAGTGAGAGGCATTCTGGGTAAATAAAATGTATTAGGTTTTGTAATTGCATCGACATATTTTTCTCTTTAGATTTTTCCACTACTATATTTGTAGTCATATTATTTGTTAACTTACTACTATGTAACTATTAGTGTCTAGACTCCTATTTTTTCGTTTTTAAAAATGAAAGACATTGAAGGCAGCAAGAGCAACTGGCACTTCAAATGATTGAACCATTTCCTGAATGATGATAGCCATAAAAAGTTGCCATAAAAGGTAAAAAGTAAATTTATATCACGGCGTCCTTAAATTTAAAAGAAGGATAAGCAGTAGGGGTTGGTAATAAGACGCTCAACCCAGTCAATATGTGTAGGTAGCACTGTGGGGCTTAAAAGAGAAAACCCTTATTCTAAATAACCTTTTATAATTGTAAAAGAACTTAAGAAAGAAAAAATTTTGTTCAGATAATCTAAATTCTCCTTTCTGCATATCCTAATTAGAATATGGCCTCTAAAACATAAAGGCAAAGAATCAAAAGATGAGAGTTACATATCATGGGGAAAAAAGAACTCCTGGTTATTAATTTCATTTGTTATAAATCAGGAAAGGGTGGCAGGTTTTAATAAAGCTTCTTGATTTTTCTATTGTGTACCTGTAGAGTCCTCCACATGTAGACTAACAGAAAGGCAATAATATTAGTTACTTGGAGCTTATTAGCATTCTGGGGAATGGGTAAAGGCAGCTTTTGGCGTTTGAGTGGATTTGCTTGAACGATTGGGACCCGACCACTGTCTAGCTCCGAGACCTGGGCATTGCTTCACCTCTTCAGGAGGCAGTTTGCTCCTCTGAGAAGGACTGACCTAGGTTACTTCTTTCGGAGTTGGTGACCACTTAATGAGACACATGCAGTGGTTACAAAGGCGTGTGGCATAAGGCAAACACACAGAACAACTGGGCTGGTAATCTCAGCACTCTGGAAGGCTGAGGCAGGAGGATCGCATATTCAAATCCAGTCTGGGCCACTTCTCGAGACCCTGTCTCAAATTTTTAAAAATAAAAGGGATATAGTTCAGAGTTCAACCCCCAGTACTGAAACAATCCAAGAACAGAAACAGTAGCGTGGATCCCAAAGACCGATGGCCGCCCACACCAGGACCCTGGGGATGGACTGTCCAGGCGATTGGAGGTCTGACCTGTGGACGGGCCACCCGCGCAGCAAGAGACTGCAGTTTCCACTCAGGGGAGGTCCAGACTCCAGCAGCCAGAACTCCCCGCACGGCAACGAGCTCGGCTCCCCTCGGAGTACAGTTCAAGGGCCCAGAACCCAGAGTGGGGCGACCACAACCGGAATACAAAGGAGATCCCGCCGGAGAGCGGTGGGTGCTGTGGAGGCGGAGGCGGGGCGTTACCATGGAGACGGGACGCGGAGGCCGGAGGGGGCCGGGTGTGGGCGGGGCCGGGCGCTGGACCCCGCCAACAAGGTCTGTTCTCAGGGGGTGGGCGCGAAGGACAGAGAGAAAACCAAAGTCCAGACCCCAGGCACTTTCATGACACTTCAGTTGTCAGGGCTGTGAAACCCGCGCTTCCCTAAAACAAAAACACTAATTTGCAAACATGGGAATTTATACAACAGTTTAAAAGGGGAGTGGGGAAGTAGGAGAAGCCAAATCAAGAGGACGGAAAAAAATGGAAGGGTTAATGGAGTTCTTGTGGAAGTATCTAGGTTTCAAAAGTAAAACATAACACAGCTTTATTTAGTGTCCTGTTATTCAAAGCAAGTTGTTATCAGAGTATTGCCAGAAGAGTCAACTACTCACCTAAGAAGCATATCATAAGCGCACCTTGCTGTCTGGAGTTAGGATTGTAGGGGCTATTTTAATGCAGAGACAGTTTTAAACTTCATATTTCTAATACTAAGCATATTTCTTTTTTTTTTTTTTTTTTGTCTTTTTCATTTTTATCGGTACCAGGGATCCAACTGATGACTGCCAGCTTGCAAAGCAGGCGCTTATGCCGCGGAGCTAAATCCCCAGCCCCCGACTAAACTAAGCATATTTCTAACACTGTTCAAGGACGAGACCAGGAGCCAGCCTGTTCCCATGGTTAGAAAGTTACAAACTTAACTCCAGCTGCCAATTGCAAGGTAAGTGTAGGTCAGCCGCAAGAAATGTTTCTCTTACTTTGAAGTTTGAGACAGTTATCACTGCAAGGACATCTCCTCCAGGCCTCAAGCGATGATCCGCCAGTTTGTAGGATAGTAACCTCATATAGCTGCTCTTTCCGTAAGAGTAGATTCTGCCTAGAAATTAATGACAAAAACATGTGTAACCAACTGTAGAGTATATGTTATCTGCCTTTTGGACTTCCTTTTGGAAACATATGTACATGACGGAAAACACCAGTCTGTGCTGATGATTTGGAACTGAGTCCCACCAGCCTGCCAGCATAACAGAGCTGCTTCTAAAGTGCCTCTGGTGCCTTTGGTCTGGTCCCGAATTCCGCTCAATATGAGATTTTATTCCTTGAGAATACTGCTTGCGAGACTCACCTTCAGACACAGAAGTGTGCAACTATTGAAAACACAAGCAGATCATCAACTTTGTGTGTGTGTGTGCCGGGGATTGAACTCACCATCGCACACTTGCCAGGCAGGTGCATATGCTGCTGAGCTAAATCCCCAGCCAGAGCATAAACATTTAAACAGTATTTCTCAAATGGTAAACAAATGTGCACAATAATATACTTGGCTGAGGGTAGTCCTAGATTGTTAGGAAATAAATCAACCCAAGAATTCAAGAATACACAAGTATTATTGTTCAGTACAAAAGGATTATCTTTCCCTCTCCTAGAAAACTTTCCTGGAACGTGGATGACACTTTTGCTAAATATTTAGAATAGCAAGGTTTATAAATAACATAACATTATATTTGATATTTAAGGAATGTTGATGAAATATTAAAAAGCATTAAAATAATCTTAACCTCTTTAATTTTAATTATTTGGCTTTTCTATTCTTTTTGGTTAGTTTGGCTAGAGGTTTATCAATCTTATTTTGCAAAGAACTAACTGTTTCATTGATCCTTCATACTATTTAGTCTCCCTTTCATTGTTGTTAACTCCACTCTTTATTAACTCTTTCATTCCCTTGGCTTTGGATTTGGTTCTTGTTTTTCTAAGACCTTAAGGTGCACCACTAGGTTACTTGAGATCACTCATATTTTTTAATGAAGGCACTTATAGTTCTAAACTTCCCTCTCTGAGCACCTGCATTGTATCCTACAGATTCCGGTATGTTGTATTTCTATTAGCATTTGACTGTAGGTAGTTTTTAATTTCTCTCCTAATTTTTTCAAGCACTCATTGATGGTTCAAAGTATATTATTTAATGTCCATATATTTGTGTAGTTCTATGATTTCTCTTGTTGATTTCTAATTTCCTTCTATTGCTATCTTATAGTATATATGATATTATTTTAGTAGTGTTTTTTATATGTTAAGGCTTGCTTCATGGATTAAAATATGGTCTATTTTGGAGAAAGTTCCATATGCTGCTAAAAAGAATATGTATTTCTCTAATATTGGGTGGAACACTCTGTAGACATCTGTTAAATTCATCTGATTTATTAGTGTAACTTAACTCTGTTTTGCTGTTCTTTATTTTCTGGTGGCCCATATGTTTTTGAGAGTGGGGCATTAATCATAAAGAAGAAGGAAATAATGTCACTCTTAGGAAAACAGAACTGGTGACCGTGATGTTAAAAATAAACTAGACTCAGAAAGTCAAATATTACCTGTTTTCTTTCACATGTACAGTGTTAAAAAAAATGAGACAGAGAAAGAGAGAGACAGAAAAGGAAAAAAGAGAAAAAGTAGAAGGGAGAATAAAAAGGGATCAGGGGAGAAAAAAGGAAAGAAGAAAGGGATAATGGAGAAATTAAAATATTGAAAGTATATTATAGCATCTAACAAGGTACCAAATGAAACCAATTACTCATATAACTAATTATATAAATATAATTAAAAATACAATGCTTAAACTAGAACCTGGTATGGCATAAGCATTTAAATGAAGCCTTGTTTCATATACATGTCTTTAAAATGAATGAATATTTTAAAATATGATTTTATAGTAATATATATTTGCATGAAAATGGTAAAGACACAGATATATGAGCATATACATGCTTATCAGTAAATTGCTACTGAATTTTATTGCTTATCTATATATCTTCTCTGAATATTTGTATAACAACATGTACCTCATACAGAATTTTTGATTAAATAATCCTCAGGAAACACATAACATAATGTTCAGGGTAGATAAAAGGATCAATTAATTTTAGACACTATTATTATTACCTTTATCACTATTACTAACAATTCATTATGGAAACAAATTTTATATTCCATTGATTTATAGGTTTCTAGTCTTTGCAGAACTTTTCCTTATTTTAACATAACATCAATGACATTTAAGAAGGAGCATGAAGAAAACAGAGTACATCCAAAGAATGATAAGAATAATCCCATCAGGGAAAAGAGAAAAGGAATTGAGTATATTTACCTCGAGAAAAAGCATGAGAATACTTTTCAATTTTGTCAGAAGATAATTTAGATAAAATACTGTTTCAGAACACCAAATTAGAGAGCTACATACCGTGGTGGGTTTAACTTGAAATAAAATAAATAGGGGTGACCAATTGTAATGGAGAAAATGAACTCCATTATTAAATGTTTTTATTCAAAGATAAAAGTAAACCTTCAAGAGTGTTGAAGGTTAATTCCTCATGGCTAAGTAAAGTTAGGATGGCTGATGCTATCAAATTTTTATAAAGAAGATACCTATTATTTTTTCTTAAAGTTTTAAGAAAAAATTTAATGGGTTTTTTTCATTTTTTCTTTTTCTCCTGAGTTTTTAGGGATTTTTTTTTAGTTGTTTCTTAACATGTTTAATCATTTTTTACTGGATGCTGGACACTGTGAATGTTATCCACACTGCATAGCTGAACTATGCGATTTTCTTCTAAATGCTGAGCTTTTATTTCCTGTTCCACAGTTATTTAAGTTATTTGTGGATAGCTTGATTCTCTGAGAAATATAATTACTAGGATAAGTGCACAGTATTCACTCAAGGAATAATTTTGCCTTACCACTAAGTAATGATGGCTTAGCAGTCCTTAATGAACTCCTTGGTTTTCCTTGAAGACTCTCTACTTGTATGAGTTATTTTCCTCTTGCTCGGATAAAATATTTAACATCCACAACTTAAAGGAGGAGAGGTTAATTTTGGCTCACGGTTTCAGAGAGTACAGCACGTGTACTGGTTCCAGGACAGAAACAGCACAGTAGAAGGGCATGGTGAAAATATGCTCACTCACGGTTGCCAGGAAGCAAAGGGAGTAGAAGCCAGGAACACAAATGTCCCTTTCCAGGTCACACCCACACTGACCTACCACCTCCAACCAAACCCCATCTCCAAACAGCACATTCGGCTTTGAACTCATCAAGGGATCAGTCCACTGGTAAGTATAGCACTCCCATGATCCAATCACGACCCAAAAGCCCCACCTCTGAAAATAAGACTTTTAGGAGACATTTTAAATCTAGACCATAACAATATTCTGCATACCTCCCCATCTTCTCTGAGCTCCTGGAAGTTATAGATTATAAGTCCCCCATTATTATATACACAATGGTGTGAATTTTTAATCTATATACCTACAGATAAGTACTTAGCAAACACTTCTGTTTATGTTGCCCATCCTGTTTGTTTTGCTTGTTTTATTCATGCAATTTCATGTTTTCCAAAATTATATGAAAAATTCCAGCTCCCTCAGTATCTGTGAGCTCTGATCTACTATCATTTCGACCTGTCCAGGTCCTGTTCCTTGAGTTTACCTTCCTTTGACCGGATCTGAATATTGCTTCCACGCAAAAATTTGGAGAAATCATGCTATTAACTCCTGTTCAGGTATCACATTACAGTACTATCTGTGCTATCTGTATTCCAATGTCTGAAAACAATTGCTTTTTATATTTTGTCCAGTTTTTTAGTTATCCATGACAAGAATTTAAATCCAGTCCTTGTTACTCCTTCGTGGCCAGAAGTGAAAACTTGGAGAGCATTGGATAAAAATATAGATAGATAGATAGAAAGATAGATAGATACTAAACAGTCTTGTATAAGGACAGAGAGTAGGCTTAGTACAAAATTCCAGTAATGTTTAGTAGTCACTGGGAAATGATTGATGGTTATCTAAAGATTGGCATCGTGAAGTACAAGTAAAAGCAATAGATATTGTGAAAATGAAATAGAAAGAAGGTGCTGAAAAGGAATGAACAACTGGATAGGGAAAAGGAGAAAGGAAAGAAGGGAAAAGATGGTATG